CCCGAGTAAAGTACCCCTCTAAAAAGTGGGAAATGTAAAATACCCGGGGTACTTTAGTCAGTGGTCTACGGTAATATATTATACCGAGTAGTACTATCAAGCCATAACAAACATGGATTTTATTGTACATGACGTCCTTTTCAAAAAGTTTGAAAATGAAGCTGAGCGAGGTGATTATCTTGGTTGATGTTATGAGAATGGAACTGGAGTAGATAAAGATAAACAAAAGGCAGTTGAATGGTATCAAAAGGCAGCTGAACAAGGATATGCAAATGCACAATGTAATCTTGGTGTGTCTTATGGTAATGGAACTGGAGTAGAAAAAGATGAACAAAAGGCAGTTGAATGGTATCAAAAAGCTGCCGAACAGGGATATGCTGACGCACAATCTAATTTGTCAATTTTTTAAACATAATTTGTTAACATTTTTAAATTTGAATTAATGCTTGTGTTATTTTTTGAAATGCATCGATTTTTGTTTGATGCGTACTTGTGCCCCCACCATACAGCAAGAAATTCTCATCTGTAGTATAGCATAACGTGATATTGATGATGCTTAATATCATGACATTTATACGAAAAACATACTGATAGCCGTTGAAAGCAGTTTTCGTTACAAGCTTGCTAACCTAAAATATTGATTTCGATGACAATGTCCAGATGTATCAGAAGAATAGAAGCAGAGTCCGTAGATTAGTTTTGGCGCTTTAACGTTGCTGTCATACATTGTTGATTTAATGCATGGTTTGTGCATTTTGGTTAACATCCAATTAGCATTTGCTAGAGAGTTATCAACTATGGAGATTTTAATTTTGGTAATATATAAATAGACGAGTAAATTGAACACTAACCCGTAAATTTGATAGGAGCTGACATTTTACTGAAGGTCACATAAAAGCTCTGGAGAATGTTTCAAACATTGCAAGTTGAGATTTTATGTAGAACAGCACATACTTACAACACCTATGTGGATTATTCCGGTCAGTTCTATGTAATGTGCCATGTTATTCCAGAAAACAGATTTAAATTATTATTTTACTATTTTATTGCTCAAATTATTAGCGATTGTAAATACTGTAACTGTGAAGCAATTAACAAATTTCATTGAAGCTTATATTAACAAAAACTATTAACCTACGGGTCAATTTATGTTGGGCAGATGAAATATAATAAAAACATGTTAATGTGTAATTAAAAAGTTAAAATATTGGAAGAATATTACCCGTTCTATTTTTTAGAAGACATCATCCGTTAGTTTAGACTTCAATTTATCCTGTGACGTATCGAAACGAACAATACACTATTTTATGCTTGGGTTCTCCTTTTAATATAGCAAAAAGAAGTATTCATCGTAATGTAATTACATAACAACAGATGGCGTTTCGGTGCGGTGTATACTTACAAAAGTATTTAATCATAGCAAAACCTTGAAATTAGCAGTTGGGAGTTTAAAAGAACGAATTGTTACAAAGAGTCGCGTCCTTGACAGTGCCATCAGATGACGGGATGGCATATACGATAACGATGGGTTGCGGAAATGCAATAGAAATATCGGTACAAAATGATCGGTTATAGAGTCAACATAAAGACAAATTATGTATGGTTAAATTTATGACAAGTGAGAGTTTATTAGATACTTCACTAATGGAGTAAGCAATAACCATAATAAACCGCTTTTATTATTGAGAGCTCTTTTTGAAGTATTGTGGACAAAATCTAATTTTTACGTCTATTAAAAAATAGCATAAAGAGCGCATTTACGGACCACTGATGTCAGCACAAGTAGTGTAAATAACTTTGTCCAAAGCTTGACACAAACCAATAAAATTTGACGTTTAAAAGCATCAAGATAAAAACAACGCTACATCAACGACGGTTTGGTAGACATATGGGATGGATAAATTCCATTGTTAACGGTGTATCAAGTATTTAAGATTATGATACGTACCGACATTAGCTCTTTTAAATGTACGCTTTTTCATTAAAATTATGTCTGGTATGGTATATTGTTTGCTTTATCTAAGTTACTGAATTTAGATTAATCATTAAAAAGTTGGTTTTTCACCAGTATTAAACTTGACTCTAATAAACGACTAACTATAAGATTTCTGTTATTGTTAATGTCGTAATTGCAAGCTAGTAGCCCAGCGTGTCTGTAGTTAATTTAGCAAGACTGTGCGAGTTATCTGACTTGAAAACAACACTTGGTCGCATTTTCGAATGCTAATATTTATCAGTAAACACAACTATTCGTTCAATGGCCACACATAGAATTTCTTATTAGAGAATTTTACTATTTGGTGAACACAACGAATCTTTAATTCAACACTAGACAATATATGTTATTAGAAGACAGTAACGTATATCAGACGTTGTAAATTAAATAAAGCATGTTTATTTCACGTTGCGAAAGTTCTAAAACAGTTTAATAGCAATATGATTCAAATTTTATTGCGTTATATACATACGTGTTAATTATGCGGTAGCGTTAACTAATATATAAACCGTCACAACGCATAGAGCCATTAACAGGATGTTTGTACGTGCTATGATAATTTGTAGCACAGTAACTGCTGAACTGATGGAATGAATTCAAACAAAGAAAATCCTTTACGTCACTCCATATCGCAGAAGCAGCTTGAAGTTATAACGTATATAGAAAAGTCAGCGTTAGTTAAGAACGATATGTCGGCAGTTTTCTGTCTTTCTGAGATGAAGCACGCTGTTATCACAAGTAAGTAACAACTTAAAATTTTAATCCTGACTCGCAATTAGGTTTACAGTTCTCTTTAGCGTCAGTACTATTATTTCTTCGCTTTAATTGGGAATTTCTGACTCTTGAAATTTATTGTGTTTACTTTGTCACTGCTCCCGCCAGTTGAAGATGAAAACATCTTTTATTTATGGTTTTCAAATAGTAATATTCTCTTCGATAATAAACCCGTAATTTAGATTTCATAATAAATATTCACAATGGGCAAATAGAACTATCGAACAGACGATGGTCATGCATCGCATCTTACATGGTCTGTTACCAATGCAATTTATACAGTTCCTCTTTGCTCAATTCCAAAAAGTGTATGGTTAAGCTATATTCGATAAAGCAGATGACACGCCCTATCATCGACGCAGCAGATTCATCATTTTCGCTGAAACACATTTTCTAAAACAACCCTTCCATGGTCTGAATCTTCTGCTCAATCGGCCTGTAATCTTTCGCATTACCTGCAGACTCCGTGCCAACAATGTATACCCTCCACGTATTCCCCGTACGCGCAACACTACACATGATGACGGCCTTTGAGTGTTTGACATTGTTGAGCTCATATCTGCACAAGTTCTTATCGGGATGTTCTTTATCTATTAGACTGAACCGTGGAGTCTTGTAGCATCCAATGGATGGTGAGTTCCATGCACTAAGGATAAAATACAAGTGCGTCACGTTTTCGGGTAATTCGTACAGTTTGGACGTTATCTGATGGTGTCCTATGTGTATTATGATATCCGACATAAGTCGCTAGTCACGTATCCACAAAAATATCAGTGGTTTTTTTTTGTTTGCAATATGATTCATATACAAAATCACCTCTTCTGTTCGTACGGTCAAGTACGTCACCGGAATGTCGGGTATTTGCAAGAGTTGGGTAATACGTGGATCGGTAATCGTATTGGCGCCAGAATTTATTACCAGTGTACAAGAAACAAGTCCCATCGAGGTAGTCGACTGTATGGTCGTCCGGGAATCCCCAATCTAAATCAAAGATCAGGTCCTTAATAGTTTCTTTTTCCGAAATTTCGTAAAGAATAACCATCAATTGTATGTGACTATTGGCTCTAATGCCATATTCAGCAAGTCTTTTGGGTTCATTATCGGTATTATCCTGTAAGCGTATGAGAACGATGGTTGAGTCTAAACAATACTCGAAACAATAAATACTCTGCTCCCAATTATCATTCCTCACCCAACCTTGAGCTCTTCACCGTTGTACACCAATTTTTGCTTAGTGATTTCTATTTTCTTTTTGTCACGAATCGCTTGTCGTAACTTCACTACAGTAGTCACTTCCTCGTAATTGATTACAATCTTTTCTCCGTTTAGTAAGACCACATATATATTCCCGCTTGGAACAATCTCCTCATTATTGCCGACATTTTCAATGTTTGCAAGGTGCCGACGACCAAGTTTATCGACATTCAACTTGAACGGAGCCTTATCCAAACGTTGCTTCCATCTCACAGCTTCTTCGTTGTTAAGCGCCGCGCTACATTGCGGACATTGATACTCGTTTTCATTCTGATTGTCTAGTAATTGGACCAGACACTGGACACAAACAAATCATGCAAGTTACAATGTTGATTAACACAAAACACGAATGTAATGTTTTGTTTATTACCCGCAAACAATGCAACGATACGTGGGTACAACGCTCAGTCACAGGAGACGATGGAAATTCATTTGACAACTTGTCGACCTGACACTGCGAGCATTTCATTTTTCGAGATGTTGGGTCAGGGGGGTGGGGAGGGGGGAGAAGGGACGTTATCTTATAATTGGACCAAATCTGAGTCATTTGACCAAGCCTCACCCGCATCTGGGAAAACATTGTTAAAATATTCACACCCTTTGCCCTGTCACATGTGACGGTTTGCTTTGTTTGTTAAACAAACGTCGCCTATTATCATTCTGCCCTCATAAAGTAAATATACACTGTTCCCTATATCAGGAATGGTTCCGTGTAACTCCGATAAGTTGAGCCCTTATTCCAATACGCCAACAATTGCAGGTTGGGGTTCATCTCGGTTTGGGGGTGGGTGAAAAGAACGAACGCTCCCCCCAAAAATCACCGATTACCGTTTGTCGGAATATTGGAGTTACAAGTCCGGTTTAGGCGTATAAAGCTCCAACTCATTTTTTTATTTTGACGATTTCTTGTTCTCTGGCCGTGTTCCTTATGAGAATAGGCCCTTTAGAATTTGATACTCTATTATCGTAAAAAAAAATGTCTTCGAGTGACGACTCTCTAGATATCGTAGCGTCTTCTCCGGAAGCGCCAAGTTCTAATGATACCACGCCACGGAACGAGTCCTATGTCCTCGTTACCCCGCCTCCTAACGACACACAACAAGATACTAACTCGAACGTAATTGAAGCCGATAATTCAAATAGTCAACTAACGCAGTCGGACGAGTCACAAGAACTCGAACAAGCCAAAACCGAAGACCCAGTAATTGTAGACGTGAGCAGTGCCTCTGATAGTTCCAGCGAAGGTGGCTCTTCGTCCACAGACAGAAAGGACGATTCTTTCGTGCACCTATCTGACGATTCTGAATCTCATGGGTTGGCCGCAGTCGGCTATAATATTAGAATTGGTGCCAATAAGGCGTCAGACGTGGAACGTGATAAAAGATTGGCCGACGTTCAAAAATCTATGCGTGATTTTCTCTCACACGCCATGGCTGACGACGAAGATGACACGCAACAATCTGAAACAGATCTGTCTTCACCGCGTTCAGCAGAATTTCATAAAGATGACACGCAACAATCGCCAAAAGATCTTGCTTCACCACCTTTAGCTGAATTTCATCAAGATGACACGCCGCATTCGCCAAAAGATCCTCCTTCACCACGCTTAGCAATATACCGTGAGGACAATGACCATCAACAAGAAACGGCAAATTCGTCGGAACGTTCTTCGGTTGATTTTACTGGAAAGGAAGCAGATCAGTCCTCTTCTGGTTCACAAGAAACGGATACATTCTTGGTCTCCAAGCACAAGTTATCCGATTCTAATGATTCTACGCTGCGCGAAAATGCAAGCGACGCAAACAATCGCGTGTCTGTTCCTAGTGGTTCGAATACACAACATGAACTGAATTTGCATAAACAGCGATTCGATGGATCCCAGATAACTGAAGAAGACGAGGGAAAGCGGTTAATTGAAAAAGAAGCAGCGAAGAAATTTGTCCAAAAGGATGCTAAATCGATTGAACGCGGAGCGACGGCGTATTCTGGCGAAGAGGATACGGGACACATTGAACAAACACCGGAGGAAACTACTGACGAGAAGAAAACAGACGAAAGTGAACAGAGATCAATAGAAACTTCTAACCAAGGGACAGCTAAAATGGAAATGGAGCAAATTGCACGTGGAACGGAGGGACAGTTTATAGAGGAAATTGTACGGGAAGCGCAAGAACAGGCGAGGCGAGGTGAACGGGGAGCGGGGAAGGCAAGCCAAGGGGATTCTCATGGCTACGATGTAGACACAGAACGTAATCAGATACGAGGAGCAGGAGCGAATGAGCAAGCGAACCAAGTGGTATGGGGAATGGCGAGACAGAGAGATTCTCATGGCTATGATCCAGACACAGAAAACAACGCCATATCACGTGACAATGACGAAAACCGAGGAAATGGGTCGAAACATGCACGGAAATCTTCAAAAGATGGTCAAGAAGATACTTATAACGATGATATATACACAGAGGAGAAGACGAATGACGAAAAAAGAGCGAGCAAGCAAAAGATTCGGAAAGTTTCTACGGGTGCTTCGAAAGGCGTGCCTAATATTGCTGGCATGATAGAAGATGATGATGATGCTGTTGAGTCAGCTACTCACAACGAAGTGCGCAAGGAACCTAATATCAAGGATGATACTAAAGGCAAAGATCGCGAAACAGATTCCGATTTTAATCCAATGCGAGGTCCTACGGGAGTAAGTCAACCTGTTCAATCTTACGCAGCGGTAGCAGGTAGAAACAGGAAACCCACCGAAACGGGAATGGCGAGTGAGAATTACGGAAAGAAAGATTCCAGGAAACGGCCTCGACTCCCGCCTCAATATCAGGATTCTGATGAAGTCGTTACTACATTTCACGTGCATATGCCTAAGGTGAAGGACGTCGACGTCGTCTGTGTTCTCGGTAATATTGATGAATTGGGCAATTGGGATGACGCAAAAGTCCTCCTTAGGAGATATAAAAATTCGAATTATTGGTTTTCGGACCCAGTGAGAATTCCGACGTATCGATTTGTACACAACATTTTGTATAAATATGCCATAGTTTCCAAAGGCGGAGGTTTGCTGAAATTCTGGAGTAATAGTGCTTCTTCTACTTTCGAAGGCTATGACGACAGAGATAATCGCGAACTTGATCCCGAAGAAAACCAATATGACATCTGGAAGCGGAATTATAAATACCCTCTTTACGAACGTGATATTTCTGAGTCGTTTTGCTTCCCTGCGCAAATATTCGAAACGATCACCGAAGTTAACTTCAAGGCCAAGCTTATGGACTACCTACGGGTGTTCAAGAAATACAGAAATTTGTGTCAGAAAACTGTGGATGTCGAATTTATCAGCAACTACGCTTACGACGCAAGACAAGATGCACAACGTGTTTTCTTATGTATACTGCTTGGTTTGCTTGCGAAAAACTCCCATTATGGTTCCGAAGTTAGACTCAAGGATACATTTCCATCGGCCGACTTGTTGAATTCTCTTAGTTTTATAGATGGTGACGACACACTTACTAAGGATGCTATGGATCTGCTACCCTACGCTGTTCGCGTGTTAGTCCGGCATAACTGGTACACTTCAGCTTCTTTTGAGTGGATGGGAATGTTTGAAGTAGCAACGTTTATCGATCCGAAATATTCGTTCTTGGAGTCAGTTAAACTACGTGAACTAAACCCAGATGAGTCGGATCGTTTCTGCAGATGTCTTGTTGAGCAGAAATTTAATATAGAAAGGGAGAAAGATATCCAATATATTCGAATATTTAGAGTAAGTACTATTAATTTTCCGCTGCATAGTTTCGAATATGATACTAATGTAATGTATATCGTTAGTCTTTTATTGAAACCGCCGCCAATATTCGAATTTTAGTATTTCTATGGAAGGAGATGATTAGACCAGACATGAAGGCTAGTGAGCAGCCATTAAGAATGAGTTGGATAACACGTCTGAACGAAATAATTAAGATGGATAATGCAACAAGGTTGCGTGTGCATTTGTACGAATTGCCAGACGATCTAGATATTGAATTCCAGTCATTGTTCATTAAACATATTATAAATTTACTCAATGGACAAAGATCAAAATGGGATAGAGACAATGTTAAGGAATTTGTTGCGTTGTTCGAGGATGACAGACTATTATGGACGTCAGAAGACAGAATGAAAGTGTTGAATTCGGTATCTACTTCACAAAACATGGAAATATTGGATGTGTTCGTGGACCTACTTCGGATAGTTCTGAACAAAATTCATTTCGATGCAAAAATGAATACAAGACTCGGTGAATATTGCACACAGTGGTTCGAACGGGTAATAAGTCAAATAAAGGAATTACGTAAACGCTCTCGTACCAATGGGTATAATTATGTATATACGGTATATAAACGACTTTCCACCATTTATCCAGTACTCGAAGATCGACGGACGATTAAAAACGAACTATTAAATATTGCTGACGAGCAGATCGCTCCATTTGAAGAAGCTCAAATTTATGCTGCAGTTAAAGATATAGGAGACTTGCAAGTGAAGGAGATTTTGAAATCTTTCAACGCAATTGTACAAAGAAAGCTTGGGCAATCTTCGTGGAAGGCTGATGAACGTTTACTAAAGAAAATTAGACAGATCTGCGATTGTGACGGCAAACAAATTCGAGTCCCTAATGGGTGAGTGATAATGTAAACTTACTTTCATCGATCTTTTGCTTGTGTTATAATTCAGTGATTCGATCCTTTTTATTATAGTTTCTGTGAAGATATTCTGTTCCATATTTTGACCAAGTTGCAAGAAAGCGCTTCTTATCAAGAAGCCGACGAAATCAGCGACAAATTTCACCAGAGCTTGTTAGGTTCTTGGAAATTTTGGGTGAGCGTGTTGACTGCCACGGGTTGTGTAAACCGTATTAAACAACAACATCTCTATTGTGAGAGAGTTAGAAGAGCTATTGAAGACTTGGCGGAGAAGCTAGAACGTCAACGCGTTACAATTAGCATGCTTCAACAACTTCTTCTTTATCCGGACCAAGATCTCTGCGAATATTTTGGCATTCTGGACCATTTCGATGATGGCCAACAGTCCTTTTCCATTGAACCGCGGACTATTCGACACTTCCGGGAAGTATTTTCTGGCTTCCAAAAGACGTTAAATCAACTCAGTACATTTTACGAGAAATTTTGTCAGCGAGATGCCAGAGTAACTAATGCTGAAGATTACCTCAATGATATTGCTAAAAGAAGGGATTCGCTTGGCAAGATTCAATACAAAGATATTTTGTTAGAGGAATATTGGGCCATTCATCAATCAATAACTGACGTTGCAGAACGCATATATCCGTATCGTAATTCGAGAACCTTTGCCAACGTCTTTGAGGAATGTTTGAAGGAAGAGGAAGAATCGGAACCTTTGACAGTAGAAATAGTAGCTCAGAAAGTTACCGAGGCAGCATTCAAAAAGTATAATGAAAAAAGAGCTGCTTATAAAGACTGGGAAAAGTTAACGTGCGCTCAAGCAAGTCCATTGTGGGCAAACGTGAAAGATGTCAGACAGGAACTGGAATTAATGTCAAAGGGCATGAAATGGAAGCCTTCACAGGATTTGATGAAATCGATTAAAGTACTGGCTGAAATACCCGAATGGAAAGAGCGATTACGATACCTAATAGATGTATTGGATATTTTTGCAGTCGTTGATGACGGAGAAGAAACATTTTCGACGATGCTGGCTGGCTTAGAAAAAGAAACAATGCCGTTAAAAGATTTAAAGAAACTGATCTTAAAACTGGAAAAGGCAATCAGAGCTCTTAATGATGATTGCTGGAAAATAATCAAAGAAATAGCTGCCGCTCGCGATTTATTGATTTGGCTTGACAAAATTGGATCGGATGATTTAAAGAACGTAATTAATGGAGTTGATGACCACTCTGACGAACGTTTGATCCAGGAGGATACGGTTTCTTCTCTTATGGAAATCAAACAGTTTTTGGCTCCACTCAAATCGGTTGATGGACAATCTCGAGTTCTGGGATTTTTAGAAAAGCTCCGCGAATTGACTGACAAGAACAAAGTACTCGCGGAGAGAATTTCTCTTTGTAATGGTCATCGTTCTGCACTAATGAATATGTATGAAAATATTACAAATAGAGGCGAAGTTACGAAGGAGCGTATAAAAAATGCTGCGACAAAGGGAGTTTACGTATTTAAACGCGATAAGGATGAAGATCGGTGCTCTGTTGAGATGTCTTACGAAACAGAGAAGAAGGGTAGTAACAAATACGACTTGACTGAGTTACAAGATTTGCGAGGTCGGGCTTTGCTCATCGCCAAGCAGGAAATGGCAACTTCCGCTGTGAAGGACATTCGAGATCGTTCCGAGTCCGAAGAGGATCGAGCAGATGTTGTGATGATGGAGTTTGTTAATCAAGTAGACTTGGTGCATCAGATTATTAACTTTGCAACAAAGTTAATGGAATTGGGACATTTCTTTTATCGAAAGTTTCAGGCTGTGACACGTACCTCTAAAGAGATGTCAGCTATACTTGGTCAATTGCAAGATGACTTAAAAACGTGGCAAGTATAAATTCCGTGAAGCCATGCCCGTTATTTATTACAATTCTTATGTATGTATAATTTAATTACTATTAATATTTTCTACAGGGAGGAGATTGTGGAAGATGCGCAAGAGGATTACTATTACCTGACTTTTTACCCTGGAAGACATATCTTGAAGTTTTATGACTATTTCGTTCAAGATGCGCCAGCGAACAACGAACTCAGACAAATTTGCGAAACGCTGATACATTTTGTGAATCCTGATGCTCAGCTGCCATTACCTGGTGAGATTGTGAAGGTGGATCCAGACAAAGGAAACTACAAGGAAGTACTGTGTGATATTGGAAAAAGACTTTCCGCAATCTTTGAGGATGAGGCTGTTACTGAAAGAAAGATTAAGCCTGATATCGTAGAATCAGTCGTTTCTGACATTGTACGAACTGGAGAGCTGTTTGTAGCAGCATGTAATGACAAGTTTCGGGTTCCAAACATT